TACATTGGAGATATGATAATAGTAAGACTGGCTATTTCCATGCAGAAAATCCTCAACAATCATTGACCAAACAGCATTACTGTTGGCTAAAGTTTATAAAATCTTTATCTTAAATACAGTTTTTCAGGAAATTAGACTGCCCAAGTGTTATAGCACTTTCTAATATTGATAGCAGTTTCCTTCCAAGCCTTCTGTCTTTGGTTGTGGGGAAAGTTAGCATTTTCCCTGCTACCCATTTTAGTTGTTACTGTTGAAAGTATTCAAGTGATTTGTTTTTTGTTAAATCTTTTTTGTGATTTTGTAGTGCCAGTCTCGGGTCTGATGAAGGATTCATTTACTTGGAACTAGTTTTAATCTTTGATCTAAATTAACATTTGTATATAAATGATAATTTTGATATTTGAATGAGTTGGATGCCATGCCTTACATCTATATTAGAGTCAAAATCTGACAAGGCTATTTAAGAATATGATTTGAGTTTTTAGATTAATATTTTGATTTTGTAGCACCTTACAGTTTTAGACAAATGTATCCTTAGCACAACCAATCCTGTTTTCAATTTATTTCATATCCTACACACCTGAAGAGCCAAATAAACAGGTTTATTAAACAAAAATGGCAACAACTTTGGAGTAACAGTGCACCAAATAAATTGCTGCAAATCAAGCCAATACTTGGAAAATGGAAACCAAGATACAGAAAATCCCAAAAAGAAGACGTAATATTGGTCCATTTGTGCATTGGCCATACAAGAATTACACTCTTATACTTACTGAAAAAGGGAAGAACAACCAATATACCAAACTGCATACACTATACAACAGGTTTTGACATTTAGGAAAACATACTTCAATATAAACAATATAAAGTAGCTCTTTGAAAGAGCAAAGATGAACGATATATCATTTCTCAAGAGTGGGTTTATACCAAAAAAATACAAACCTAACATAAAAAAACCTTGATACCATAGCATTGTGAAAACAAGAATAGCTGAAATCATAAGATTGCATAAACAAATAAATGAGTTGATACCATATGATTTGAAAAAAAAATTATAAAATATAGGAATGTCTTGGCTTTAAATGATCCCTGAGGGGTTGATAAGCCATAAAGCAAAACAGTCAACTAACCAACCATTTCCTACACTAAATTTATGATTGATCTATATGAAGTATTTGAAGTGCTTAGATTTTTTTTTTTTTTATTTATCATGATGGATTCAGTGTAGTACATCACTATTCACATAGCAGTTTTTCAAGAACTTTCCTAAAATAAATTATAAAATAATTGACAAAAAGTTTGTGACAATTAAGTTTAGCTCAAAACCAGATTTAATTTTTGCAAATAGGTTGCACCTTTGAAAATCAGCATTAGAAAATCTTTTTACATGGTCTGAAACACTAACTACTGGTACAATTATGTCAGCTACGTAACAAGTCTGTACAGCTGTAAAAAATTACATCTTTTTATGAAGTGTTCATTTTTCTTTAATTAAATCTTTCCTGTTTAATCTCTTTTTACTGCTTAACTGTTTTAAACTCTACCAAAGTTGTAATGTAAAATATTTTCTTTTTACAGACATTATATTTTTTGGAGAACAATTACCTGAGAAATTCTTCATTTGCCAAAAGGTAAGTTGAGGAGGAGGAATTAGAAGAAAAATCAATTTTCCTCTTTATTGGCTTTGATTTTCTCATCAACTGCAATGTAAATAAATTTGTTGGCAGTGAGAAAGAAAACTGCATGCACACACGCTACCACATTGTTCCTTTCTTAGAAATGCTTTCAGAAGAGAGAGATAGAGAAAAAAACTTGCAGGCCTTCACATCTGCTGTGTGCTTGAATATGGCCTTAAATAAGCAGCCAGAGATTTGTTTGTGAACATGTTAGCAACAGTAGATTCCTTTTTTTTCAATATATATGGGTGTATTGAATTGTGTAGATATATGTATATGTTTTTTATGTGTGCTGTTTTGAATATCACAAGAACTGGTTGCATTGCCTTTTGTAGGTTTTGCATGAAACTTGGGCATTCATCTGCAGAAACCATTCTAATGGTTAAGAATGCTTTCTACAATGAGTAAAGCCCAGATAAACTGTTGTTATGATCACTTCAAACTTGGTTGGGAATCCATTGAAAACATCAGATTTTATTCTTAATTATTCTTGATCAGGCCCATAATGTTTCTGTACAACTTTTTATTTTGTGTTCTTTTCAATAAACATTAATATAAATCTATAGGTTTAATTATATTTTCAAATGCATACCTTCATATTTACTTAATTAAATTATGTATAATTTCTCAAGCTAAAATAATATAAATAATAATTGCATTATAAAACAATCAGCAACAACATTTACTCCTTTTTGTTTATTAAACATTAAATCTTTTGGCATTTGGTTTGCCTGACATATGTTTATAAGCATTCTTAATTTCAAAACTTCTGGGAAACTAACAACATTTTATTTCTATTTATAAATACTTACTGCAAAATAAAATCCTTACATATGCTTTGATAAAAAAGAGGACAAAATGCATCGACTAAGATAAGTTTTCTTTTTGTCTTTATTCATATTGTCTTTTTGTATGTATATTTTTAGTTATATCTGAATTTTTACACTCACACACACACACACACACACACACACACACACACACACAAATAGAATTTGACAACCTTGCAACTCTTTTCAAAGGCAGTACACCTGAAAGTTTTAGCATAGTTCTTCTTTATGTGCTGTGTCCCCTCAGGGCATAAGCGATCATGGCTCTCCACAACATCCTGTCCCTTGTAGCTCTTAAACTTTGATTTTCTATTAATTTGCCTAAACCCTGTTCTGCCATCCATCTACTCAAGCTCATTGTGTTTTATGCGTTGCTTTCCTCTGTTTCTCTTCCCCTCAATCTGTCCTGTGAGTATCAGATTTTCCAAAACATCCTTTCTCATTATGTACCCCAGAAACCTCAACCGTCTCTTCCTGATGTTAAGTATAAGTTTCCTTTTTCTCTAAAACTTCATTTACCCACATATTCAATCTGTAGTATCATCAGCAACTTTCAGATTTCAGTGTCACACTTTCCATCCTCTATTCAAATTATTATTGTTATAGAAACGGTATATTTCACTTCTAGGTCTGGTTTTCTCTTGAGTGAAGGCTGGCTTCTTTGAAACCAGGCCATTGTTTAGAAAGACATTATATAAAATATTAGTGAGTTGGGCCAAGCAAGATCTGATCAAGGAGCTTCACAAAGGAGTATCACTCCCTATGGACTTTGGCTTGTACTGCTTTAATAATGACTTATAAGTTATTCAAGGTATGTTCTGAGTTACCAAAAACTTTCATGGCAGATCTGGCTGGCTCATTGCAGTGATATAGAGGAGTCTGTTGAACACATCTTATTTCACCCTGCTTGGGAATATTTATTTATTTTTGAGGGGTGGGGGACCCAGTTATATTTGGTCTCATTATTCAATAAAGAGAAACTAAATCTCATTGAGAAAGGTGGTATGGACAACATGACAGAAGAAAGTCCATCTCTTATTGCATTCTTTAAGCATCAGCTTATGGTCAAGATCAAAGTGTAGAGGAAAACCTATCCTCAGTGGATTTGGATGAAAGGTGGGTGAATGTTGTGCAGTAGAGGAGGCACATCTTGAGGTATCTGGTTAGGAGAAGGATTTAGTGTTTTTTAAGAATGTCCAACTCAACCCAAATTAAAGTAAAATAGTGTTGTTTTTTTTTTCTTTCTTTTGTTAAGTCTGTTTAACTTTACTGGGGAATGTATACTCATTGGAACACTTTTTTTTTTATTCATCCTCATAGTTTTAGATTATCCCTCAGATAAAAATAGATTGCTTTATTAATAAAAATATATTTTTCTTTTTTTTTTTTATGGAACTTTTTAGCCATTACCCCACACACACACACTCGCATCAGTTTTTGATGAGCCAGCTTACTTTTTTACTGCCATATTAAATTGTTGGAGAAACACATACAAATGCATTTTTCTAAATATATTTTGTTTCATTTAAGTTATTACAAAAAGTTGATAAGTCATAAAAAACATTTTAATTGTATAAAAAGATGAATGTTTTTCTCTTCCCCAACCTAAAGTTGTAAATATGGGTTTAGTTTATATTTTCAGAATAAATGCAATGTTATAGTGAAAGGAACAATGAAGAATGGTTGGGTCTGTAAATATGGCTAGCTAAGCTTGTGATTGATTAATTATAAGATAGTGAATGACCTGCATTAAGAAAGGCCTTCCTCTTCCAACTTTTGGGCAATGTTTACAGAAGAACTCAAAATTGATTGCATTGCATTTAAGTATTGAATTAATGATTTATAGAAAAAAGCCTTAGAAAAGTTCAATGATAATTTTTTGTTGCTCAGATTCAATTTAAAGATGATTTGATAAAAATATATTTATATAGATCCTTATCATTTTCCATACAAACAATTATTTTTTTATTTCATGGGTGACAGAAAACTGGACAATTTATAAGATAAAATTAATCACAATAGTGTAAAGATGGGAAAATAGAAAATCAAAAATTAGCATTTATATTGAATTCAACATTTGAAGAGTTCAAGAGAAACTTAATTTAAATAGACTCTTATTTTTAAGTACAAAAATTATATTATGGAATCTAAAATAAAATGAATAAATGCAAAATTAGAAATTGGAATTAGATATACATTCAAATTTGAAATTAAAAAACATAGGAAATCTACTTTTTGAATAAATTGAAATTTGAGCTCAATTCTTCCACAAATTCTGAGATTTTGTGACCCAAGGTTATAGTAATTTAATGTTATTCAACACCCCCACAGTCACTGCCAGGGCAAGGAACAAAAATGTGGGGAGCCCTAGCACATATACCCAGGCTAGGAACAAAATTGGTTGCACTGGCCTCAGTGTGAGCACCAATCCCTCCCTTTAGTGTAATGAGAGGGCACGGCCTCAAGTAGCTGTTCCGCAGTATTCCTCAGTATAATTTTCATCAGTTGCGACTCTGTCCTTTGACAGAGCCACCCCTCAGCACACTCTGCCCAAAGACAGACACGCAACTGAGAGATGATAAATAAATGTATTTATAAACTACTTTAGAGTAATTTACACACTAAAAGCTTAATATCTGTATTATATATTATCTACTTCTAGGCAATATCACTCTTCAGGTTTAACTAAATTGCATATTGATTTTAAAAAGTTTATTTCATTAATTAACTGTCCTTCATTACTGTTCTTTTATTTGAGGATTGTTTTGATTTTCATGTCAAAAATAATCTGTTTAGGAATATTGTCTTATAATGCAGAAAAGTGTTTTACATGGCCTTCAACAAGTTGGCATCTATTTGTAAAACTTTCTTTAACTATAACAAGCCAATTTATGAATGAAATGTTCATTTAAAATTTTGCAAAGCAATAGTCTTTTATTAAAATATTGTCATAGCTACTGCTCATTACTACATTTACCTTTCACAATATCCACAAAAAAATGTAACAAACCAAGTCAAATCTTTGAAACTTTTTGGCCCCAGCATTTTTGGTGTGTTTTCTGGAGGGATGTGTCAAGAATTGATCTGTCTGATGTTTGAGAATGCTGTCTTTAAAGGTCAGGAAATAGATTCTATCCAGAATGTCTCTCTACTATTGAGGAGATGGAATTATAGAGGTGTTGGAACAGTGCAAGAAGTTCATTAATGCAAATGGGTACCAAAATCCATTACAAAAAGGGCTGCTTCCAAGCCTTGACAAGTCATGTATTGGAAATAAAAGGCAAGAGGCCATTTCCCGAGATAATGCTTCAGTACATATGGTAAAATCAGTAAAACCTTGGTTAGTACAGCAGTCTTTGTTTTGGCCTTGTCAATCACCAGATGTTTGGTTGGGAGAAAATTTGCAAATCCAGATCATCTGTGAAACAATTGGATAGAACAACATTGATGCCTTACACTGTAAACAATTATCTCACAGCTTGACCAAAAGACAAAATAAAAGCTATCCCTTACTAGAACTTACTCTGAACACAAACACATTATAGGATGTTGCATATTTTACTTTTATTGGTTGGAATAAAAGAGTAATTGCAAAAAGTTTTTTAAAAAAAATAGTTAAAAGAAGAAAAAAAAGCTTGCCTGCTTTTTTGTGGTCCAATGAGTAGTATGTGTGTGTATGTATGTATATATATATATAAGTTTGGTTATTTGTTAATGATTTCTTTTAAATAATTTTTTTTCACATTTGGGAACATTTTCTTGGCTTGGAACATATTTAAATATAAAATGTCCACTGTATGTATATGTCAGTTTCTTCATTTTCAAATATTGTGTGCATTTCCATGTGTTCATATGACAGTATAGTTAATTTATACCAGCTATGATAGTATAATTAAGATTTGCCTGAACCCCACAAGTTCCCTTCTATGACCATCTAGGAACAAATTGATGTCATTCACTTTCACACAAATGCCCTTAGGAAAGGTCTGTATCTCTCTATTTCTCCAGTCATGAGTTAAATAGAAGAGTAGACTGAGTTCACTAGCCTTGATTGGCAACCATTACAGGAAAAGGACAACTGAATTCAAAACCTAAAGATGGCTGTTCAGAGACTTAATGGCACAC